CATCAATGGTTGCTGTTGTTTAAATCTAGTTCAAAAATAAAACCGAATGCTAATGTTTTTTTAAAAGCAGAGACACGAAGGTCCTTTCAAAACTCTTTCTGTTAGTTTATGGAACAGAAGACATATCCCGTATCTCTACGGCTACAATATTAGAAAACGGTAGGAACTACATCCGAAATAATGACAAGATAACTTTAAAATATTTAGCCATCATTTTGTCTGGAAACCTTTTAGTCTTATAATCTGGGGGGGGATCTGTAAACGCAACACCAGTTTTAATTTCACTGGGGACTATCAAAGGTGCGGAATGACACACGAAATTGTTACAGGCGGTTTCTGTTTCGAGTTCAATGCGGCCTATTCAAAGTGTGGGAGACATGGGGAGTTTATGCTTGCGTACGTGGGCCTCTGTTTGTCTGTGTGTTCCCAATTATGGGAGAACACGCTGGGGTAGTTTTGTTGAGGCCTCGGTCGCTACAGAGGCCTTATCGTCCGGTCAGGTGTAGGCAGTAATGGGATCCTCTTTCGAGACCGCGCCACTCTCTTGTCCCTGGCCTGTTCCCCTGGGGGGGACTCGGTTTTAATATCCTCCTGATCGGCGGAGCTTGGCGCAGAATTCTTCTACACATCACTAAAATCGCTAATAGCACAGGCCACCCCCTCCCCGATACACACACACACCCACCCCTCACTTCCTCCGGCGTCGCGTTTGATGTGGAAATGAAAGGTTGAGAAAGGACGAAGAAAAAGAACGAGAAAAGGGTCTTGCACAATGGGTTAAATTAAAATGGAAGGGGGCGCTTAGCGAGTTACTGATGCAGACCGGAGAGGGTCAGAGCCGGGGAGAGGGACTGAGAGAGCGATTGAGAGGCGAGAGGAGGAAGACGTAAACAGAAATAAACAGCTGTGTGTCCCAGTATAATCTAACCACTCACGCATTTTTTTTTTTTTGCTGACTCCTTTATCCAGGTCGACATACTATCAACTATCTGTCAAATATTAACCGTATAAACCACATACTGTGGAACGGTGTAAATCTAGTACCGTATAAAGGTACAGTATCACAGTATCAGAACTACGAATGTGTTCAAAAAGATGGGATTACTGTATGTGCTTTGGAATACTGTGTATTTGTTTTCCTTTTGTATAAGCAAAGTGTACGATGATTTGAATAGCCCCCCCCAGGAAAGTAAACTGTAATACTTCAATCTATTTTTTTACAGATCCTGTTGCTGCAATATTCCCCTCTTTTGGTTAGAAAATTGTAGGAACTAGTCTCCATAACCACACCTCAAAACACACACAAGGCTTTGGAGGAACTCAGTAGTGCTTAAGAATGCTTTCTGGAAGATGACCGAGCTGCAGGAACAGGTGTGAACACCTG